GGTTTACTGAAGTTATATTCCCTATGTTACTTTCATGTGGAGTTTGACTATGTGCCTTAACCAGCTTCCTGACATTTTTACATCCATAAAAATTTTTAGATTATTGTAATAAAAATATGGATGGTATAGAAAAATCTAAAATATTTTAAAACAATGCCCACTCTACGGTTGGTTTTCTGCAGACAATTTCAGTGAGTAGGAGTACATGAATTGCAATGGACTTAAGAGATCTCAGGAGAAGAAGGAGTTAAAGAGGAAGGTTAGTTAATGGATCATTTGCTATATTCTAAGCACCGGACTAGATTTTTTCCACATCTTAGTTTAAATAATCCGCTTTATACTTTAAATCTCTATTCAGAGAAATAAGAGGAAAATCTGCTTGGAGTATTTACCTTTAACAATTATTTTGAGATGGTGATTGGGACTTCATTTGCAAATACATGCATATATTAGTTTAGATTTTAGATGATAGAGGTAGTGCTAGAAGGAACCTTAAAAACAATAGAGTCTGGAGAGGTTCAGTGGCTTTCTCAAAATTATATTTTGTTGAACTGATAACCCAATCTATTATTATTCATATATCTGTATATCAGACTATCATTTATGTTCTGTTAACTGTTCTACCTAATGCTTATGAATATGGATGCATTCAATATGAATTACTGAGAGGGAGAGCACTTTGTATAGTAGTGGAGCTCCTATATTTGCAAATGCTACAAAATCTCTATATAAGAGACATCCAGAAAAAAAATCAGTGTAATTGACCGATGTTTGCAATACAAAAGAGTGCATTTAGGGAGAAAGAAACTGTTTTCTCTCCGTGCATAGTTGGGTAATAAATATGTGCCCTTTACAGTGCTTGCATTTTACGTTTGCCTTAAATACTAATTGTCTTTCCTATTAGAAACAGTTGGTATGTTAACCTTTGAATAAAATGTTTACATGTACCAAGTCCTTTAAAATCTTTCTTGAAATGTTACTTCTTTAGGGGACTTGGAATGCAGAAAGACTGGAAGGACATAATATGTCTTCCTTTGCATCCAGGCAGCAAAACTGACCAATGAAAAAAGGTAAAATATCATCTCTAACTGGTACCAATAAGTGTAACTGTTATCACTTTTTAAAAAACTATTGTGCATGAATGCAATTTTTTAAATTCACTCGACAATATTTGTTGAGCTCTTCCTCTGTGTTAAGCACAGTGCTTATCTTTCAGATCCTGAAGTTCATTATATTTAGCAGCTTGATTATAATTAATTCGTTAAGAAGTTTCCCTAAGTGAGATCAGTGTTCGAGGGAATTCAAAGATATATTTAAAAACAAAATCATAATGTAAGGATCTAAACCTTGTTTTGGTATTATTAATTCATACAAAGACATTTTCTAGGTGATTACCTTAAGACTCATGACTCTAGTTTGAAAGCAGGCAAATGAAAAGATTTCAATATTATTGTTTCTTATCCTTTTCATATCTAACCTCCAAACAGAGGCAAGACTTTAAAGGCTCAGCAAATAATTCCTAAATATTCTGTCACTTTACACTTCAATGCTCTGAGCTTTCTAAGCCCACACAACAGAACATATTTCTGGACTTTCTAGGATTATCAGGATTAATGCAGTAAATATAAAAATTTCAAGCTGATACTGGTTTTTACCAGTTTCTACCTATATTGTCAAAGTTATGGCTGTCATTAAATATGATTGTCATGTCTTTTTTTAGCGGGTAATACTGCTAGATATAGAGAATTCAGTATATATTCTTACTATAGGGCCTGTAATAATTAACATTTATATGTTCTTACTAGTAAGGCCGCCTACAATAATTGATATTGAAATATCAGAACATTGAAAGTAATAGATTTTTGATATTTTGAAATAAAACTTTTTAAATGGTCCATTCTCTTTTTATATCCACAATTTATTCCCTGTCATAATTATTTTTATAACCATCAGCAGCAAGCCAGTTTTGTCAAATCAGTATCATTCACCATGAGATATCATTAAAAAGAATTTTGCAATCCACAGGATTTATTAAAAGAGCGGCTGAGAACAACACACCATCTTGAGGGTTTCATGTTACTTACAATGTAGTAAAAGCGCATTTCCTTCTGATAAAGCTCAACTCCTAAAATACTTAAATATTTTTAACCAGAAAGAATGCTAACAAGTTCAGTATTTTATTTACGGTATAGTTTTTTTCAAAAGTCAAAATGCTTCCATGTAGCATGCATCATTCAAAAGGCCCTAATAATACCGACTAGGCATTCACTTTTTAGGAATTGAGACATACTTCTATAATAATGTGAAAATATTATGAAAAATAACATGAGGATTAAGAAATACAGGTTTTTAAATTCTAGTCTTGGCTATGTTACTAGTTGTGTGTGTGTGTGTGTGTGTGTGTGTGCACGCATATGTCTTGAGTAATTATCTCTGGATCTAGTTAACTCATAGGTAGAATAAAGAGACTGGTTTGTAAACAATGATATAATCCCTTCCAGCCCTAACACGGATAGATTAAGGGATCCAGAACTGAAAGGCCCAGTTGAATAATTTATTTTGGCACTTCAAATTCAGAGAACTTGTTCTGGGACTTGGCAATGGGTTTTCAATATGCAGATGTGCCATTTAGTCATCTAGTATTATTGCCATGGCTTTGGTCATATGATCAGCATATGATTATAATCACAGTCTAAGAATGAGTCCAAATTTATAGTTAACAATAGAGGCAATGCGCTCAAGTTTCTCAGTTCATTGAACTCAAGAGCATCCACCACGGCAAAGGTGGGTTGTTGTCGCTTTTCTGCTTTTGAAGAAAACAGGTGGTACTTTCTAAACTTCTTTGTAATAAGTTCTCTTCCTGTTTCTCTACTTTTTATAGGTCAAAAAAAAATAAAGTAAATGTATGTGAATCAATATGATTGTTTTTACATGACAGAATAGATGTGGGAGGAGACCTTTCTTTACTTAGGAGGGTATCCACACAGATATACTACTTCTTGAATCAGTGTAGTTATAAAAGATAATATGGAGGGAACCTACATTGGGATAAATGAGTAAACAAAGTTTGCAGCTCAGAAACAATTGGAGAAATTTGCTTTCTTATTTTAATTAAATCAGCAGTGATTCATATAAACTCCATTGAGAATATGATATACATAAACATAGATTCAAAGGAAGCTTTTCTGTATCTCTCTACTTAATTGTAAGCTACTTCAAGGCAGTGATATTTCCTCATTCATCTTTATCTCTGCTTAAGGCATTGCCTGACACAGCATGCCTGTTCAATCATGAGTAAAGAAGTGATTCTGAATATCCAACAATCCTCCACCCAATACAGGAGTCTTCCACTGCTCAAAATCTTCTAGTGTTCTAGAGAGCTCATTCCCTCATAGCGGTCCTATTAGAAAGAGTTGGTACTTTCTTCTTATTGATTTAAAATCTGTCTTTTATTTGATGTAGAAGATTGTGGATTTGCATTCTACTGATGTTAACATGTACTATGACTATTAGAATAAGTCACAAATAGACCCAAACAGATCTTATCAGAACATTCTAATTATTTTGAGAGTTTTTGCTCTGATTGGAATAAAGTCATTACAGGTTCTTTTGGGAAATTCTTTTCCTGAAGAATCCTTAGCATCCCATTGTTTCTCACCTGCTGTTCTTTGCTTATATGCAGCCCTTGATCTTGGGGAGGGGAAATGCTGTTCAGCAGCTAAGTTCATGGGTGAATTCTCAAAAAAACTTAGTGTAATTACAAATTTATTTTGGTTCTGTAAAGCCCGGAGGGCCATGGTCAAATGTGTTACAATATGAATAGTTATAAAGCGGAATATAAAATATCGTCTCCAGTGAGTACTTGTAGACAAGAACTGTCACTTCATTGAAACAAAAAAAATTTTTCCCATGACGTTCAATGCCATTCATTTATTCATTCAACAAATATGCATTAAGAGCTTATAAATCCTCATTTTATTATGTTTCACATCTTATATTTAACTCTTTGATGATAACTTTGTTTAGGTTCTTTTAAATAAAAGGACAAATTTTTTCAAATGCTATGTCTATTTGTATGGTAAAATAAGCTTTTAACTATTGTGGCTAGAGAAAATATTTTAAATTGATAGGTAATTAAGACTAGTACATCTATGTGCCATTTATAAATGTGATTTAATCCATACATATCATTTTGTTATATGAGGAAATTATTTTATTATAATAATAAGTGTTACCAGATCAAAAAGAGAACTGTTTTTGATTTTCTTACGTGTTATTAGAATTATATTCCAGGTACTAAAATTCCAACAAATTGGATATTTAAAAATACTTTAATAATTTAACTTAAGATCATGAGAACAAGTGGCTATAATTGCAAGTCAGCTTAATGAAAATAAATGGGAAATCTAATAGCTTCCTCAATAGAACAGTTCTGCTTCACTATCTTTCTTATTCACTACATGACTATTTCTACCTTCACAAATGTGGTGAACAGGGAAAAATAGGTCAAATAGAGACAGTTATACACTTCATTCAACTTCAGAGCCAAAGAGGTTAGAATTCAATTACAAATACTTTTCTTTTGTTACATTATGCAAACTTGGAACTAGAGATTACAGTATTTAGTGAAAATGTTTCATATTTTAAGATGTATATCTTCATTTCCCAAATAGATTAAACAGATGATCAATGTACAAACAGTAATTATATCACAAATGTACATTAAGGACAACTACAAAAATGTGTACAATGTTTAAAAATGATAATGAAGAATAAATTACTTTTCAGTGCAAATAATTAGGTATATACAGGATAATTTAAGACCAAATGGAGTGATTGCTAATGCTGATCTTTTAAAAATCTTCATCAAGAAATATGTTACCCGAGAGAGTGATCAAAATAAATGACAGAAAAGTAGAATGTTGTCTCTCTTTTCATTCTCAGAACTTGAATGATATTTCATCAAAATAATTTTCCAGGTGTGCAAATGTAGGAAAACTCTAATTCCAAAACCATTTTTCTAAATTACCAACAGACTTATATTCTTGATGCCTCTTCACATGATCACAAGCCAAGCATGCATGTGATTCCCAAAATCGTGGGAGATTTACTGTGAAATCTTTCCTCCAGTTAAAGTAACTAAGGTATAACTTATTGTTTTTGTCGACTTCCTTCAGATACTTTGCTAACTCACTGGGAGAGTTAAAATCTTCCACATGAATGAATGAATCTGCTGGAATATAATTTTCATAGTTTTCCCTAGGTGGCCCCAGAACAACAGGTACAGAGCCAGCCAGAAGAGCATTGTAGAGCTTTTCTGTTATGTAATCTTTGTGGATTGAGTTTTCGAAGGAAAGATAAAATTTACAGGTAGATATGGTAGGAATCAAATTTTTATCATTCACATACTCTCCAAATGCTTGCCCATAGGTATGAATTTCAATGCTTTTGCTTAGCTCATTGTAATACTTGACCCTGGCATGCTCAGGGTTCCAGTTACTTACAACCCAGCACACTAACTTCTCTTTGCTTGGCACTTCAAACACAAAGGGGTTTGTGCTCACCGTCAAGAAGCCATAAGGCACTTGGATATCTGAGTCACGGCGGTAAGTCAGAGTGAGATTGAATAGGTGCTCAATGCCATTCTTTTGGGGTGTGTGAGTTGGTGATTCCAAATTCATCCAAATCCATTTCTGGAAGGGTGGCCTACCCTGCTGAGGTAAATTAGTCAGATCCCAACTGATGTCTCGGTGATGGATCAGAACTGCGTGAGATTTATTGTACAAAGAGCGGTCTGTTGTGAGATGGCATCCTTGGATGTTGAACATTGCTTGGCAGGAGGTAAGGTCAAAGGTCTGCCCAAATGGCCACACCCAAATCAGAACAGTAGTTTCATTAAAATAATCAGTTTTGGTAGTGAAGAAATTTTTCATTTTCAGCACTGAGCTGGTTGACTCCATTGGGTTGATGATCCAGCTGTTGGTGGGCTTGATGTAAATGAGAAGACATGCCATAAAGCAGCCCAGGATAATGCAGACAATTAAAAATGGGCGGAGAATTCCTTTGGATGCTGATGTCATAATTTTTTCTACGAAACAGAAAAAGAAAAATAGAGGGGTGGGTAGGGGTAGAAATGAAGTATTAATCATAAATATAATTTGAGATAAACAGGTCGTAAATCCTAAAATGCACTTATTCACAAAATCAACTGAATTTTCTCCATTTTAGTGTTTGTTACCAAACCACTGAGAGAAATACAGCTTTCCTTTTAGCCAAGAAAACTACTTTTAAAAGGAATGTTCCCCTAAGTGCTACAAATGAATCAGAATTTGTTATGAAGGGACTGGCACAAATAACACCTCTTTTTATTACAAAATCATAAGCATGTAATTCTGTAACATAACAAGATCACTCAAGCACACCACATGACATTTTAGGAGAAATGTTCAAATTAAAACTATAAATTATTACACCCATATTATTACTCCACTAACCACACTCGAGCAAGCCTTACTTCTGCCGGACCCTGTATATGTACCAGGGATCTTTAAGCCAAGTTAGATTTTTTCCAATGCCATCCTTACCACTTATATTTTAATTTGCTGTAGAAAACTGCACCACAAAGACCATCATCACCAAAGCTATGACTAAAAATTCTAGTATTTTGAAACTACAAAAGACCTGTGAACATCTCCCAGTTGATATAATCACATATTTGCAAGGGTACTTTTTGATTGCATTATAACTTTGCAGTTCAGATGAAATTTAATAAAAAATTAACCTTTAAAAGGAAAATGCTATGTTTTTATTTTTGTTACAAAATTATAGTCACCGTTAAAAATGCAACATAACTCTCATCCTGTAAAACATGGTAACTCTTGACTTGAAATGTTTTTGTTTGTTTTGACTTTGTTTTTTGGTATGTGCACTAAGGAAAAAATTGGTTAAATTAAAACCCCTCATTGCGTAATTAAAATTTTTTTGTTTATGTTGAATAATTTCTACCTGCTATCTACTAGGATGTGATAATCAAATGCCCTATCGATATTAGGACAACAGTCTCACTTAGGTGGTATTGCAGCACTAAAAATAGATTTTCCTAGCATTAAAATAATATTAGTGTAAAGTGACAGTAAGTGGAGTCTCAAAACATAGTAACTTTTATGGAGAACAATATTCATCTAATAAATTTTAGCAGATTGTAGCTAAAAAATGAGTCAAAGCTTTTAAGTTTTTTTAATGGATGCATCATCAAGGTTTTTTTCTCTTTCTCATTCATGCCTCCTTATGACTATAAACACAAAGATAAAATATATGTTTGCAAACCTGTCTCAGTCAAATTCTTATGAACCCACTGAAACACATTATTCCTGTAAGAGGGTGCTAAACTAAAGGTCCCCCCAAATGGGAAAGTCCCCTGACTAATCTGGCTTGGGGGGAGGGGAAGTAGAACAGGGCCATTGAGAGAGAGAGAGAGAGAGAGAGAGAGAGAGAGTTACTTTACATATCTTAAGAACTTGGCCAGTGTTTTAGTAATGTTAAGTAGCTGGGATGGGTCTGACTCTAACTCATAATGTAGCAAGAGGGGCTTGCTGTGCCTGCAAGAGAGGCTTGGAGGCGGCTCCTACGTCTTGGGCCACAACCGCCTGGACTAATGATGGCAACCAAAAAGGGCAGGAGATATGGGTTAGGGCAGATGTAATCCAGTGTGGGAGGGGTTGGAAATGGAGTTACAGAGGAAGGTCTATGTTGGGATTTAAACCCAAATGTGGGGGCAACCATTGCCCTCTTTACCATGTGGCTTGGGAGAGAGATGGCTGTCTTGGTCACACGGTTTGAAAGGATGCAGAAGGACACCAACCAGCATACCATGAGGAGGGACCATGTGGTTTTGGATTAAGAGCAGGAGCCTAGCTGAGCACAGAGGACTGAAGAAGCCAGAATACAGATGCGAATCTGCCCAGCTAAGCTACAGACTTCTATTTCTTTTCCTGTGAAACAGTACCCCTGACTGGCAGGGTTTGGCAAGGAGAGGCAGGGCTGTGTGATTATGGGTGTTTTTTGTTTCTAAAGGGAGTAGAATTTAACAGCAGAATTCTGCCATTATTCTAAACCTGTATAACTTTTGAATAAATAGTTCCTTTCCTTTTCATAAGACTCTGGCACTGGAGTCACAGTTTTTTGGTGGTAGGCAATAGAACCCAGAGAAACAGAACCCAAAGTGGTTCTGTTATGTTCTCAACAAAATAATATAGTATTTCAATTTAAGATTCATTAAAAGACTTTGAAATCTTGCTCAAACTAGTGTAGAAACTTTACATGAAAAAAGAGTGAAGAAAAAGAAACTGTTCTTTATTAAAGTACCTAAATTTATGTGAACATTTAAATATTCTGTTTTTGTTATGTAGTTTTTCTTAAAACCTATAATATTTTCTATGTAGTAAAGCTTGATTTTGTGAGTCCAAAGACTCTGGAAATTTTATCCTGGATGCACTGCTAGAAGAGAATTATCAGAATCAAAGACTGAGGCTTATTGCCAGAATTAGCTGCAGATCTGTGAAGTCAATAACAAAAAAACCCCAAAATGTGTATACTAAAGATGTCAGAAAATTCTAATTAACTTTTGAACAATAGAGAAAATCAAAAAGGAATATGAAGAAAATCTCAATTATTTAGAAATAAATAACATTGGTATTACTTGTCACATTTTGTAATATGTGGTTAAAACAGCACTTACAAGGAAATTTATGTTTGCAGTTTTCAGAAAATCAATTAACAAATAAGTCACTCAACAAGCTGGACAAAGAACAATGGTGCAGAAACGGAAGAAATAAAGAATTGCGGTATGGATAAAAATCACTGAAATGGAGAGCAGAAGTGTGAGATAATATCACATGTACCTGTGTGAAGTGATGGATATTAACTAAATTTATTGTGGTAATCATTTCACAATATATAAATATATCAAATTATTTGTTGAACACCTTAGAATAATACCATATTATATGTTAATTATAATTCAATAAAGCTGGAAAAAATACTAAGGTAAACATTAGGCAAGGATAATTAAGAAAAGAAAATCAAATTAAATATCAAGAAAGAGTAATTTATTGATTTATCATAGAAAAAATTAGAAATGACTATAGTAATTTTATGGTAATACATTTGAAAAACTGATAAAATAAATGGTTATACTTCTGCACAAATAGAAAAATGCCAATTTTAATCAGAGACTATGATTAAGCAAATAACAGTTAAATAAATGGAATTCATAAATGAAAACTAAAAACAAACTCTAGACCTAGATAGTTTTGCAGGAGTGATACCATGAATTCAATGAATAGAGAATACTACTGTCACTTAAAAATCATTCTAGAAAGTAGAAATTAAGTAAAGAAGCTTAATGTATATGAAGCCAATTATTATCTTGTTATCAAAAGAAGATATGAAAAACTAAAAAAGTTTTATTTCACTTATGAACACAAATGCAAAAATACAAAAATTTAGCAATAAAGGATATTGAAAGTATATAATGATGCAATTCAGAACAGGTTTATGGAAGCTTAGTAACACTTTACCCTACTTTATACATTTAAATAGTCTGAGAATATATCAGTTTTTTTTTTATAGACCCTGGGATCTACAGATTGAGAAAATTTACTGGGAGGATCTCCTTTTTAAATGGAGTAATATTAGCATTTACTGTACATGATTTGACTTAGCAAAGGCTGTATATGTTGTTTGAATGAATGCTGAGTCCTCAACGATGTGTAAGGTAAAATGCATGGTAACTAGATAAACATAAATGAACCCAATATGAATGAATGAATATATGTTTAGTTGCTTTCTTGGTATATTTAATCTCTCTCTATATATAGAATAGCCACTATTAAAAGTGACATATGGGTATTCCTATCACTAGATGAGCAAAATCTCCCATGTTTGCCTCTTTGTCATGACTCAAAGTTAGCATCTATCTTACACATTTTAGTTCCACGACGCTTTTTTAGCCAAATGAGAAAGAATTGGTCACCAGGTCGAAATAATAGTCTGTCTACTGTGCACCAGGACATTTTGTATTAGTTAAGATTTCTGTTTTTTGTTTGTTTTGTTTTTGTTTTTGTTTTTTTTTGGTCAACTCTCTGCACACCTTCTCCCCTCGTATTTTCACTGTTGTCAAGATCAACTACTAAACAGAAGGGTCAGTTACTCAATAACCCCTGCTTTGTTCAGAAACTGTAGGAAAAGTTTGCTTCTTGTAGCCCTTGTTAGAAACCTTTTCACCTGTTCCTCTAATTAAAATTCAGTTGGATGCCCAACAAGTCTTTTTTTTCCCCATTGCCATGTATCTTCCCTATGCCCTCTTCTACCTCCACCCACCCCCTGTGCCACCAGTCATCACACTGTTATCTGTTTCCTTAAGTGCTTACTCTTTTTTGCTCAATCCTTCCACCCCCGCAGCACCCCAAACCAGTGGTGAGAGCTGTCAGTCTGTTTGTTCTCTGTCTAGGAATCTGTCTCTACTTTGCTGGTAATTCATGTTGTTCACTATATTCCATATATAAGTGAAATCAGTGGTACTTGTCTTTCTCTGAATATCTTATTTCACTTAGCATAATGCTCTCCAAGTCCATCCATGCTCTCACAAAGGGTAAAATTTTCTTTTTTAACAGCCAAGATAATATTCCATTGTGTAAATGTACCATAGCTGTTTTATCCACTCATCAGCTGATGGATGCTTGGGCTTCTTTCAAATCCTGGTGACTGTAAATAACACTGCAGTGAAAATAGGGCTACATGTATTCTTTTGAATTAGCGTTTTGGAGTTCTTTGGATGAATTCCCAGAAGTGGAATCACTGGGTGATAAAACAATTCCATTTTTAATTTTTCGCGGTAACTCCATGCTGCTTTCCACAGTGTCTGCACCAGTCTGCATTCCTATCAACAGTGCACAAGGGTTCCCCTTTCTCCACATCCTTGCCAACACTTGTTTGTTGGTTTACTGATGAGAGCCACTCTGACAGGTGCAAGGTTAATTGTGGTTTTAATTTGAATTTCTCTGATGATTAGTGACATTGGGTATCTTA